ATTCTTAGAACAAAGGAAATCATGTTTTAAGTAGGAGAAAGGCCGAAAACTGTCCATTCTGTGAGAGAAAGAACTAATCTCGGGCCTACGGCCCTCGATTAGTTCTTTCTCTCACAGAATGGACAGTTTTCGGCCTTTCTCCTTTACTTAATCGAGATAACGATGATTTGATCCTGACTGATGCCATTTTGTACAGGCCCAGATGTGATAATTATACCCTCAGGGTTATATCTACCTGTCTGCTACTGGTCAGGTGACGGTCTACAGTGAGTAGTTTTCAAACACAATAAGGTTCATTTCTGTAGATTCAAAATCAAATCTCTGTATGAAAATACATGTCATTTTTAATGGAACTTAGGAGTCTTATGGACATTAGTAAAGATTTGTTTTTAGCGGTAAAATGGATAAATTGCTCTTAAAAAGCACAGATTTCCACAGAAAAAGAAAGCAGAAAAAAAGGGAAAAAAAGTGTTTACGCTTGGATTTTCTCGGCTTACAACAATAACAGGAAAAGTTTACACACTATAGTTGAGCAATATAGGACTGTCCCTGTGTATCTGAACTTTGTAAAAAAAAAATAAAAAATAAAAAAAAAAATAAATAAAAAATAAAAAATCGCATTTTGACTTATTGCTGTGTCCTCTTAATCTGTTAATTAGAATTGAAGACAAGATGGCGAGTAGACTTTTTTTTGCACTTTTCAATGAGATATAATTCTAGTTGGAGTATCAGTGTAAATGGTAAATCCTAAATATTCAAACAGTTTCTAAATATTTCCTAAAGTTTCTGTTTTAAGTTTTATTTTTATTTTATTATTATTATTATTATTTAAATTTTTTTTTAATGTTTTACTTTTGGCTAAAGTTGATTAATTCAGAAAGAAAGACAAGGGAAGAGAATAAGATCTTTTTTCCTTCACTAATTTTAAATTCTATAGATTTTATTGACTGTTTAGTACATCAGGTCCAACATTCATTGTTTAGTGACCTTGTCCTGTGTCCATGATTATAACTTATCATTGTTAATGATAAGTTTAATAATTATGCACACAATGGCATAGCCAACCAACCATGAAGCTTGGGCTTGGGGTGTACCAAGTGATTTGGTAGCAGCAAAAACCCTTTGTTCGAGGTGTGAAACATGTACTAATAGATGTTTAAAAATGATACATTATTTCTTAAATAAAAATCGTTAGAAATTTTAGTTTAAATTGACTAAAAAAAGGTTTACTTCATATTCAAAGGTAAAATCATTTTTATACCTTTTCGTTAGTAAACTAAATTGTATATGTAATGCATAACATTTTATGTGGCACTTGCTGTGGCCTTCAACTCGACATCTACATATATCGACGACGTATTGTCAATTAAGTAATGGATATATGCCGAATACTGTTCTATATGTAAAATTATCAGACTGTTTGAGGCCCGTTAGGGCCGAAAACAGTCTGATAATTTTACATATAGAATTGTATGAGGCATATATCTTACTTAAAACATTGCCATTTAAATGTCCAAAAGTTACCTGGAGGAGTCCGATAATTACACAATAGGAGTTCAGGCATCAATAGTTTTCTACCTGAAACCATCTAATAAGAAGACAAAAGAAAAGAGAAAGTTTTTTTTCCTTAGATAGTAACATCAGTGAGTGAACTCTTTTGTTTCATTCATTCAATGGCAGTCGTTTGGCTTAGCAGGAACTATGGATAGTGGTCAGGTGATGAAGGATTTTTTTATGATTCGAAATATATTTTTTATTAAGTGCATTTGACATTGATACAGAAAGAGTGTTGGATGATATCTTCAAAATGCATTTAAAGTAAAAATGCGGATTTTCATCTAAAATTTTGATTGGATGATATAATGAGAATCTTGGGTTTTAAAAGTGTGGTCATTGGCGAACAAACCTCGTTAAATTAAGAGATTCGCAGACTGGTTCTTTATCGGAAATGGATTTAAATTGGCTTACTCACATTGATGTATCGAAAATGCTTTGCAAAAAACCGAATGGAAAGTGTTACTTTTGAGGAAGGTTAAAACTCCAGTTTCTTCTTGGGCTTGCTATTCTTAACAACTTAATTTCCTCGCGTTCCCTTTCCCTGAATATTTTCTCCCTAACTTTTTTTCTGGTTTCTGAACAAATTAAACCTTCATCTCACTCTAGTTGTTGTTTTTTAACTACTGTCCGATTTTGTTATCACTGCCGTCCGATAATATATTATTGGACTGCTAATTATTATTATCGGACGGCTACAGGTAAATTTTTAGACTGCAAGAACAAAGGCATGACGTCACAGCAATGTTTTAACAATGGTTATTTCCATTCTTATGTCGATACGATATATCCCGGTGAGCTTGAGATAAAAGATACCACAGAGTCTGTCACATCTGTTTCATATTTGGATATTTTACTTGAAAAAGACGTTCATGGTAATCTAACAACCAAGCTTTATGATAAACGTGATAACTTTAACTTTTCAATCGTCAACTTCCCTTACTTATGCGGCAATATACCTTCATCACCTGCATACGGGGTTTATATCTCTCAGTTATAGAGCATGCTCTACGTATGCACAATTTCTAAAACGAGGTAAATTATTGACAAACAAGTTGATGAAACAAGAATATCAGCAGTCTCGTTTAAAGTCATCATTTCGTAAGTTCTATGGTCGAAACAATGACCTTGTCAGCAAATACAATTTATCATTGAGTCAAATGCTGACTGACGTTTTTCATATTAATTGTTAGGCCATTATTTACACACTGAATTGTCAACGGATTTTTCCGTTATTTCCCGATCATGACAAGGAGCACACGGCGGGTGTGACCGGTCTTCAGGGGATGCTCACTCCTCCATGGCACCTGATCCAACCTCTGATCTTTTGGAGGTCCGTGTTTGCTCTGCTCCTATTTTGTAATGTTTGATGGACTTTCGAGCTTGAATACTGTTCGTTATCTCCATATATTACATGTACATTTGGTTGTATTCTTTTATTTATTTGTAGAATAACCATCTTCACGTATTTACTGAAAATAAAATAATAGAACTATTTACTTTGTTACAGAACGAAAATAATAAATATCATTCGATACAATTAGAAAATATGCTTTGGACAGTTGGTTTTAAATTATCTGAATGTATCCATTCTCTTGAAGCCCAGTACCTGTCTATAGGGAAAGCTCAATATAAACGTGAGAACAACGGTTTACAACATACATATAATTATTTTCTTATTGGTATGGACTCATTTCCCTGTCATACATTGCTACATCATTTTCCGATGTGTGACCTTGCCTAATAGTCTTTTGCGTTCTTTTCTATTATTAATATCGAAGTTTTAAATAAATCTCCTTTACATGAAAGACAATATCAAATGTAAAACGATCGCAACCGAAATGTTGCTATTGCTGTTGTAATAGGTTTACTGGGAACACTCTTAGTGTTTCATAAAGAGTAAATAATGTTTTTCATGTATAATTTTAAAATAGCTCGGTGCAAATTCTATCAACCAGTTCAATCATTCAATCATTAATGGATACTATAGAATCATGAAAAGAATCATTAAAAGTTGCCTCCAAAAGTCCAGATTTTCACAACAATGATGTAAAAGAAAGGCGATTGTAGGATTAATTTTAAAAAAAATGATCATAATTCTGTTAAATATATGAGTGTAAAGGTCTAAATTTGAAGCCCTTCACCGGTATATGGTGACGTCTCTATATGAGGGAAAATTCTCGAATGGGACGTAAAACAACACACAATTAATTAATCAATTTAACATTTTGATATATCGATGAATTTTTATCAATTAACAATATTCATTTTTTATTTCTACGTTGATTCCTTTGATCTCTTTGAACTCGAAATAAAAGATGCCACAGAGTCCAACACACTTGTTTCATATTTAATTATATTACTAGAAAAAGACGATAATGGTAACAAATTTTATGATAACGTGATGACTTCAATTTTTCTATCGCCAACTTCCCTTATTTATGTAACAATTTACATTAACCATTATGCCCTGCATAGAGAGCTTTTGCCTCCCAGTAGCGCATACTCTATTTACTAACAATTTCTATAAAAAGCTATTGACAAAAAGTTGATGAAACATTAATATCAAAAGCCTCGTTTTAAGTCAACTTTTTGCAAATTCTATTGTCGATACAATGACCTTGTCAGCAAATACAATCTATCATTAAGTCGAATTTTGACAGACGTTTTTCATACATATTTTTCATACATTATTTTTACACTAAATTGTCTACGCATTTTCTGTTTGCCTGATCATGACAAGGAGCACACGGCGGGTGTGACCGGTCGACAGGGGATGCTTACTTCTCAATGGCACCCGATCCCATCTCTGATGTTTTTGGAGGTCGGCCTTGTTTGCTCGGCTCCAAATTTGTATTGTTTCAATGGATTTTTGAGCTTGATTACTGTTCGTTATCTTCATATTCATTTATTAGTATTTAAATGAATTAAATGTCTTGTACTTATTCTACGATTTTTATTACATTCATCTTTTGTCTTTTATTTTCCATTAGTAAGATCCATAGCCAGATACATATAATTAGTTTCAAATAGGGTTTTATATCCGAATAGGACGCCTTTCAAGAACATTACCTTAAGTTGATGATATTTAATATTATTTTCAAACATTGTAATGAGTTTTATCATTGGTTCGCTTGATATCATGTGTCAAATTCTAGAAATGTGGAAAGATTGGGTCTTTCTAACAATATACTTAAAAAACTCGGATTGACCTGTACTTTTAATAACAGATTTGCTGGCGTTTTACAATTTTGTCCATCTTCCTTGAAAAATAATGTAACAAATGAAGCCTTTGTAGAAAATATAACAATAACAAATGTTGCCTTTTCATTCGGTCTGTCCATAGATGCAGTGACTTTGAAAAACATATCGACCTCGATGTGAATTATAATAATTACAAAAACATTCATTTTCATACAAAAAATCTTCATAAACGTCAATGTTCATAAAAGAATACAATGTATAGATTGAAGTACGTGGTTTAAACTAAAGAAGGAGAGGAAGACACTCACAAATGTTATATAATGACTCGCGTCTTTTATGTCTGAAGTTCATGTTTTAGCACTTTCAATATCTATTCTCTGCCAATTCACATTCTATTTAGTTTTTCATTTCAGTTCTTTATCATCTTCTTTATCAAATGTTACTATGCAGTCATTTTAAGCACCTCTCCTTATACTCATCCAAGAAAGTCAAATGAAGCAGTTACCACGTTCTGTTTATGTTTTTCGGTTGCAGTAACTGTTAACTCTGTTCCACTGAATGTCATAAATACATCAGCGCCATTATCCATTCCCTTTGATATGTCTGGTGTATCGACTGTTAGTTTCCCGAGGCATTTGCAGCCATTTTCAGTTATATATTTTGGTTCCTTGTCAGGTGAAATGTAAATCGGTATGTCCATTGACGTTTGATCAGGTCGAAGAACAGTGTAGGTCTTTTGCACCTGAGCTTCTCCAACATTGACTGTGTCTCCGACTTTTACGTGGATGCAGAAAATATCGCTGCAATACTCAGTTCCATTAATAATCTTTTTCTTTGACTGAGGATGGACAGACTCGTTAAACTCAATTGTTGTTCCTACACCATAAGTATATTTGCAAACTCTTGCTGTTATTGCTTTTGGATTATGTCCGTATAGAACTGCACCCTTTAAAACGGCCAATCCGGCATCTTGTGGGACAATGATTTTTATCTGTTTAAAAGCGGTTTGAATAGCAACGCGTAACATTGGTGATTCGGCAAACCCACCTACCAGCAGCATAGAAGATACACCTTTTACAAAGGGATTTTTGAGGAGGTTTTTAAGATGCTCAATGATCTTCTTGCAGCTTTCGTCAAAGAGTGTTTTGGTGAGGTCCGCCTCCATTCTTAGTTTGTCTCCTGTCCAAGTGAGTTTATTTCTGTACCTTGATTTTGATGTGACGACTGATTTAATGTTGTCTCCTGGATTAATTGTGCGGAATGTTTCAAGCAAATTAATCGGAACTTTAAAAGTAACCTTATCGTTTAAATCGGGAGAGATGGTTCTCTTTTTTACCTCAAAATCTCTCAACAGATCAAGAAAATCGCATTTGTGGTCAGAACTGAAAATCTCCATGACATCGTTACCAACGATATCGGCCAACAGACTGCGAAATGAAGCATCTACTTTGGTTCCACCCCAGTCACCACCATTAGCTTTGTGTAACTCTTTCAGCGTACCATTGCTTTGGACTTCATGAACCGTAATGTCAATTGTTCCACCTTGTGTTAAAAAGTTAAATTCAGATATTTACTTGCAATGAAGCAATTCTCAATGGATTATTAATTTTTCTTTGACATTTAACATTAGGCATATCCCGTCTTTTGCAATGTATCCGGTATATCAATTGAGAGCAACAAAAAGGTTCTTTACCTCCAGCATCAACAACCATATATCTAGCACCTGGCTTAAAGACCCCAAAAGTGGTATTTTCTTCCTCTCTCTGGACTGGTAGGTGCATGCAATAAAGTGAAGCTGCCTCAGGTTCAAGGGCCATCATCAATTTATCATCAGCTATACCAACCTTTTAAAGAAAAGTTTATCATTTAAGATTATTTTATTAATTTGATTAATAAAGTTTTTAGAGCCGAGCTACAACAAGTTCTCTATAATCCGTCTCAGGTACCAATGTCATCATTTTTATATTTTACCTCAACATACATACCGGTAAATACCTTAGCCTTCAAACTAGGTTAGACCAGTAAATATATTTTTCTCAAAAATTTTCTGCTTTGAAACGATCCCTTGAGTTCATCTAGTACATGTACATACTACAAGAGCAGAAATTCAAGTCTGTTATGATTGTTTCTTCGGGAAGAGACCAGTCATTATTTGTGATTTTCGTTGCTTGTCGTCAATAACGAAATGATGTAGTACATGTTGGGAAACAACTTATAGAACACACTCGGACATTCTCTGGAAATAACGACAACTCCCTCACATGCTTGACAGCAGAGGGCCAAAATTTACTTTGTAAATTTCGTAGATGTTGCAGAATAGTGACATAATGTTTATTAGTCCCCTACCGGTGAAACCGGAGGGGACTATAGGTTTCCTCTGAGTCTGTCCGTCCGTCTGTCTGTCCCACTTGGTTTTCCGCAATTTTTTCCTAAACGCTTGCAGATATTGAGCTGATTTTTGGTATGTGAGTGTATCTTGATGAGTTACAGATCAAGTTTGCATTTCGTTCCGCTTTATTGATTTTTGACGGAATTACGGCCTTTTCAATTTTTAGGGGTTTTCCGCAATTTTCTTCTAAACGCTTGCAGATATTGAGCTGATTTTTGGTATGTGGCTTTACCTTGATTAGTTATAGACCAAGTTTGCATTTCTTCCCGCTTCATTAATTTTTGACGGAATTATGGCATTTTCAATTCTTACGGGAACCAGATTACACTTGCCGGTAGGGGACTAGTATTGCTAATGCAATACTCTCAGAATGCTTGTTTTAAGTTGAATCCAATCTTACTAAAAATGATTTATAATGATATTTTCTTTGAACACAATTCCTTATTTATTTATCTAGAGTAAAGTTTCATAGTAAATGAAAATATCAAAGTATTGACTTTAGTTAATGTAGTAAATTTTACTGGGGTAACCAGTTGTACTAATTCGGAATTTCTTGATCTATTTTTGGTCAGATGTAGAAAAATAATAATGTTATGTTCACCTGGAATTCGGGTGCAGGCAAAATAACTTTACATAACCAACTGTTTAATTTATGTTTGGTCCAATGTAAAAAACATTATGTAACCTGAAAGATCAAGTAGAGGTGAATATAAATTTTCGTAACTAATTAAATCAGTCTGGAAGTTTGGTCCAATGTAAAAAAAAAAATGTTATATTCACCTGGAAATTGAAAGGTGAACTTAGTATGATTTCTACAAAGCTGGATCTCCAGAGGGCTAGGAATTATTCAGAAAGTTAATTAACAAGAAGTTCAAGGGTCTTAACGGTCACCTAAGTATGATACAACAATGTACAGGATCCACAGAATAAAATGAAATAAAATATTATTATTCTTAAACATTTATAGAGCGCCCTATATATTAAATTCTAAGGCGCTGTACAAGCATATTATGTAAAACAAATAAAATTAAAAAATTTACAGCAGTCATATATGAAATTATAAGATAAGTATATAAAATTTCAGTGTCCATATCAATGAAAGTACTAAATAAAAGATAAATAGGATATTTAAAATGCAGTGTCCATAATATAATAAAAGGATTAAATACACAGTCCATTTGCAAGCCATATGCCTTTTTAAAAAGAAAAGTTTTTAGCTTTTTCTTGAAAAATCCTATTGAGTCACGTTTTCTCAAGTATAAAGGAAGAGAGTTCCATAAGGTAGACGCAGCTTTGTCGAATCGTCTATTCCAATATGACACAGTCCTTTGAAAGATTTGATGATTCTGAGCGTAGGCTACGCGAAGGTGTGTACAGCTCAATTAGTTCGCTAATATAGAGTCTTGAATTGGCAACGAAACTCTTCCGGCAGCCAGTGTAGATTGATCAAGACAGGAGTTATATATATGGTCAAATCTTGACTTTGATAATGTTATTATGCGCGCAGCTGTATTATGTACACGTTGAAGCTTGTTTGTAAGTTGTTTGTTAGTTCCGACGAGTAAAGCTTTCCCGTAATCCAAACGGGATGTAACTAATGAATTAACATGCGTTTTGCATGCATCTTCGGTGATCTAGTTTCTAATACTTTCGATGTTTCTTAGGTGGAAATAACATGATTTAGATAGTGCATTGCAGTGTTTTTCCATTGTTAACGACGTATCAAAATATGTCCCAAGATTTTTAACAAAAGGGGTATTATGGATGATACTGTTTCCAAATGAAAGACTGAAACCTTGCATTGAATTTCAACTGTTCTGGTCTTAGGCGCGAATATCATGAGCATAAACTGACAGATGAAGCTATATTGCCAAAAAGCAAGAGAAATGGGATGATCAGGGATCACGAAAATAAGTACCGAGTAAGAACTCTTAAAGTAGAATTATTTCCTTGCCCCCATTCTTTACCATCACAATGTAAGCTACACACAACAATTGTGCTGGAGCACTATTAGTCAAACTACCTCTTATCCAAGCACTTTGGCCTCTCTTGATATTTGAAGAAAATTAAATGTTTAAAAGATAAGGTATTTTTGTCATATTTTTAATCACCTATTAATTACAAGTCTATCTGACCATTAAAAACTACGAATATATTATATAAATTCTAGTATAATTCTTTTATTCAATTGACATTTCAATTACATTCTTACGATAAATTAAAGTCCAGGCTTTTTGATATCATTGACAGCTGCTGTTTCAATAAAAATGGAACTCGTAAATTTACTTACCTTGTCATTGGTCATTTGCAATCTTATTTTGTTTAAACATTCTGATAGTACACATAAGTACTCTGAAGTTGATATTAAAAAGGTGCTTGAGTTTCTGATTGACAATATCTATGTGGTTTTTGGAGACCAGGTCTTCCAACAATTTATTGGAATTCCCATGGGTACCAATTGCGCCCCGTTATTAGAAGACCTATTTTTGTATTCCTATGAAGCAGAATTTGTTCAAAATCTCATACCATATAAGCATAATTTTGACATTATAAGCGATGGTGCTGAAATCGCTAAAATCGAATATCGCTAAAAATTAATTGAGTTTCATTTTGTAATTGTTACTTTAGTGAGTATTTTAAAATCGCTAAAATTACTTCTCACTAAAAATAAATACCAGTTTTTAAGGATAAATCGCTAAATTTGCGTCTTGCTAAAATTTCTTCTTATACAGAACGTGAAAAGAAGAATACACTTGCTGTGGCCTTCAACTCGACATTTAGATATATCGACGACGTATTGTCAATTAACAATGGTTATTTCTATTCGTATGTCGATACGACATATCCCAGTGAGCTTGAAACAAAAGATACAACAGAGTCTGACACATCTGTTTCATATTTGGATATTTTACTTGAAAAAGACGTTCATGGTAATCTAACAACCAAGCTTTATGATAAACGTGATGACTTTAACTTTTCAATCGTCAACTTCCATTACTTATGCAGCAATATGCTCCAAAATTTGTATTGTTTTATGAACTTTTGAGCTTGAATACTGTCCATTATCTCCATACATTTCATTACTTACAGTGATAAATTACCACTGGGGAATAAGCAAAGGGGAATGGCTTCTCTCAGTAGAATACACGTTAATAGAGCCCTTCCTAGCACCAGAACACTCGACCAAGTGGTCCAGAATTTCAAAAAATCTGGTTAAAATACTATTGCTAATTACAGCTTTGTACTTTATTTGCCTCCTAGATGCCCAGGAGCAGAGAAGAAGAGTTTCATAGAAATAATGCATTTTTAACCATAGATTCAACGCATCACCGCCCCAACACCAGAATCCTGACCCAGGGGCTATGAAATTTTCAATTTCGGACGAGACAAACTTGCTTGCTCATCATAACTATACACTTAGTTTATCTGCTAAATACCCAGGATCAGAGAAGAAGATTTTCGAAGAAATGTTGCATTTTCTATATGTAATCAATAGAGCCCCGCCCTAACATTAGAGCCCCTGATCCAGGGACCAAGAAATTCATAATATTGGAAGAGGCACCTTTGCTCATCATAGCCATAGACTTAGCAAGTTTGCTTAATTTCCAGGGTCAGAGAAGAAAATTTTTAATGAAATAATGCATTTTGACTGTATAGTCGATAGAGCCCCGCGCAACACCAAAACCCCTGACCAAGGGGATTTCGATTTCGTAATTGTTTTAAAAGGCATCCTTGTTCATCATTTTTATGCGATTAGTTTGTCTGCTAAATATTGTAAAATTGGCTAAAAACTTTGGTTAAAACTGGACCAGTGGTTCTTGAGAAGAAGTTGAAAATGTGAAAACGGACTGACAGATGACAGGTGATTAGAAAAGCTCATTTGAGCTTTTAGCTCAGGTGAGCTAAAAATGCATTGTTTTTAATGTAAGGTTTATTTACAAGTGTTGGAAGTAGCAAACCTTTTTTGCAGCTTCTCTCATGAACTGCTTTGATGGGTCGCTCCAAATGGCGGGTACTGTTAACACCCACATAATGTCAGACTCCTCTATATCTGTCAACTGTGTTTTACAGTTAGTCATCATATGATTTTTTAAGTATCCTATTGCTGTTGAAAATACTCTCATTGCCTCCATTTGCTTCCCTTTGTCATCTTTAATGAGGACTTCCCTCGACAAATTCTTTAAAGTAAGATAGGCAAATAAAGTAAAATTTCATGCCATGTTTACTACTAATAACAGGTATATAGTTATTTTTTTATAAACTAGTAATTAGAAAGCAAAAAAAAAAAAAAAAAAAAAAATTAAACCGGTCTGTTTTCTTACATTTAATTTGTAATTTGTAAAGTAAAGCAATAATGTCGCTGCTAATATCAGACAAAGAAAAAAGCTTGTATCTGTAATAAGTAAAATTATCGCAAACATACCGTTTTCTCATAAAGCAGCATTTTGAATCTTCTAAAGTAATACCAGTCATGATGAATATCATCTAGGGCCAAGTTAGAATACTTGTCCTCAGCTTCAAACCCAAAAGAATGAAACTTTCCGTTTGGTTCAAATAGAACACACGTGGAGGTTTTTAGAGATACCAGGTTTCCTGACCCTGCTGTCCATGTGTTGGCCGAGATTTTCAAAGGATCCCTCTGGTAATCATGCAGAAAGGAAAAGGCGTATCCAGAAAATGTTGTGCCGAAGTCGATTGCCGCCACCAGCAAATTAGACATATTCTAAAATATTAAATATGAAGTATTACTAGTATATTTGTTCAGTGTGTTGAATTTGTTCAACAATATACGAGTAAACTGTCAACTTCAATGTCATTGAATTTTCTGCTACTTTCGATTTTAAAATAAAAACTAAATGTTTAGTATACTAGTAATTATGTACAGATTAGTTCTATTGCCGTCAATGTCTTGTAAAGTAGTTCAAAGCTAAGTTTATTATGTATCAATTTAAAAAAAAATTCAGCATTTTATCATTTAGAATGGAATTAATGGGATTTGTTAATCGTTATACATAATGATAAAAAGAAACATTTTATGGAATATTTAAATTTTTATTCAGTTATGAAATAAGTAAGGATATAAATTAAAATCCTTCATACTTCAATTTTGTGAATGTTCTATAAAATAACACCTATGTCATATATAGTACGTTTAAAATACTTACTTTTCTTTGAAGGAAACGTGTCTATTCAAAGGCAAGTCAGATGTCTATATTTAGATATTAACATTTGCATATGTTGATGAAATAATAATTGATTTTAGGGTTTTTTTTAAAATGATTCAGTAACGATTGACCATAATTTCTTACTTTTTGACAAATTCGGTAAATATTGTCCCCAAAAATTAATGCTGTCTATTTTATACTTTCTGTTTAGTTTGTTTACGTCTCTTTTTTTGTAGCAGTAAATAGGCTGATGATGTAATGATATCATTACTTTATGTTCCTTTGAAGATGTTGCTCATTGTTTTTGCACAAGATTCTCTCGTCAAAATACATTTAAAGATATTTATCCTACAACTTGTATTCATTTTTATGCCTTTCAGTGATGAAGCAACATACACACACAATGAAATATTAAAATACTTTTGACGATAATTAATTCAAAAATTTCAAAGCCGGTGGAAGCCATATATATACAATTTATTTGCCAAAACTAATGTTTAACAATGTATTACAACCTTATATAAATTCATACCAACATATTATACAGTAATATACAGTAATTATACAGTTATACAGTTGATAACAAAACGTATATATATTTGGCAGACATATTTATTTTTACTTCTTAGGCAAAGCAGGGTCTTTCGGATGAGACCTTAAAAACCGAGGCCCCGTGTCACGGTAGGCGTGAGCACGATAAAGATCCCTCACTGTCCAATGGCCCTGAGTCCCGAGTAAAGGTCTAAATTTGAAGCCCTTCACCGGTATATAGTGACGTCTCTATATGAGTGAAAAATTCTCGAACGGGACGTATATCAAAAAACAGTCAATCAATCAATCTAAGGCAAAATTTCTAAAGAACTTTTAGAAAATTAAATATCATAAAATTGTTCAAAAATCAGTAAAATCAAAACTTATGACTTTTCTACATTTTATACAACCATTCCTTACGATAAATTAAAAACTAGGCTTTTCAATATCATGGCCAAATCTTCTTCACGGTAGCTCAGTCGGTAGAGCGCTCGCTCCGTGATCGGGAGGTCGTGAGTTCGAATCTCGGCCGCGACAGACCTAAGTCGATAAAAAATAGGTAGCAACTGTTCCTTCGCCATGCGCTCGGCACTTTGGAGTGAAAGTTGCGGGTCTTTCGGATGAGACCTTAAAAACCGAGGCCCCGTGTCACGGCAGGCGTTGGCACGATAAAGATCCCTCACTGCTCAATGGCCCTGAGTGCCGAGTAAAGGTCAAAATTTGAAGCCCTTCACCGGTATATGGTGACGTCTCTATATGAGTGAAAAATTCTCGAATGGGACGTAAAACAATATACAATCAATCAATCTTCAAATAAAAAATGAAAATCGGAAATTTTCTTATCTTCTAATTGGTCATCTTTAAAATTACTTTGCAAGAAAGCACTCTGATTCCGTACACAATTACTCTGAAGTTGATTTAAAAGGATGCTGGAGTTCCTCATTGACAACATATGTAGTCTTTGGAGACCAGGCCCCAGGATCATGAAAGGGACTTCGACTTAAGTCAAATTTTCAATTGCCTGTAAAATATTTATCAATTATTGAATTGATCTCTAAATTTGCAGATAACAACACTTTTGTATAGCAACATTGAAAAATATTTTAATTTTGGTCTGCTTGACTTTTACAACATTTTAGTACAACATAAAGATTTTGACTTAAGCTTAAGATGTTTCGTGATCCTGGGGCCAGGTCTTCCAACAATCTTTGGAATTCCGATGGACACTAATTGTGTCAATTTTTAACCGACCTGTTTTCAATTTCCTATGAAGCAGAATTTATTCAGAAACTTCTACATAAGAAGAAGAAAACACTTCCTGTGGCCTTCAACTCGACATTCAGATATATCAGATATATCGATTAATAATTGATGGCGGACTTAAGAATGGATTTCATCTTTATAATCTGGGGGAAATGGAGACAATGAGAGATTTGTCTCCCCAGTGGGTAGGGTTTTGAGGCTAGGAGGTCCACAGTGGGTGGTTAAATTGAAGCTGCCAACCCCCACTAGGTGGTGGTGGTCACCTGCTTGCCCATGTGTTGAAATCGTCACCTCCAGTTTAACCACTGAACTGTCTATACTATTGACTTGTTGTGGTTGAAATTGATAGTAAATATGTGATGGTTAATTTTGATATATTTGATGTTGACTTTGAAAATCATATTTGAGTAAATCTCAAGCAAAATTATATAATATACGAGGGTTGTTCGGAAAGTTCGTGGACTATGCCAGTCTTCGTTATACTATCTTCAATAAATTTAAAATGAGCACATTAGCATATGTAAAAATATTTTTTTTTGTTGATGTACATGTATCAAGTTTCATTCCATGTGCCTTAATAGAATTCATGTTATTTAATTTTAAAATCAACACGTTTTGTAACCGTGGAGCAAACTCAACAACAGAGTAATGTCAAAAATGTACCGACATGAGGTTCTCAAAAATGCTATCCTTACACATTCCACACATTATTGCCCAATACCAGTGCACTCATTAAAAACGTTTCTTTATCACTTGAAATCTATTTTGCTAACAATTGTTCCAGTAGTATGATTTTGTTTGTCAAAGTTTCTTTTTTACTGCACGTGTGCTTTCACAAGATCAGAATCTGTGAAGCGCTAAACTCTTAGCGTGACGTAACTAACTTTTCAATGTTTTTGATAAGATTTTTACAGATAATCAGTTTTCTCACACATCACCGTTGTCTAAGTCGAGTAGTCTAATATTCAAATACCGCTTGTACCATGTACACACATATGCATGACTCGCTTTTGACATATTTCCTACTTCCTCCGGCAATTTCAGAGTTTTTTTCTGGAGTTTTCCAAAGTACAAGACAAAATTGTAGGGTTAACTGCTGCTCCGTGACGTTCTACGACGTCATCTTTTTTTGCCTTTTTCAATGAGGACTACCTATCTTCTGAAACTGATTTCTTTTCAACGAAGCTAAATATTATATCATATTTTGGAATCGGAAACAATGAAACAATTCTTAATTTGACCGTGTTGTATCTTTCCGTTTTTGTGTCATTTTACATAAGATATGACTTCAGACATTATTTAGTAGACATTATTTAGTGTCTTGATTGTAAATTACAAAATTTTGACCTGCTCCGCGGTCCAATTTTTGCATTTTTCAAGTCTAAATAAGTTTAAAATAAACTGCGATATTTAAAAAAAAAAATAATCCACATCATTTGAATTTACTGTAAAAATATCTCTTCCAAATTTGGATATAATATGACGTTAAGTAAAAAAGTTATGGCGGTTGTCCACGAACTTTCCGAACAACCCTCGTAATTAAAGATAATTTGTGATGAAATGTGTTTGTAGCACGATTGCAGTCAACCCAGCGTTCGTACTTTTCCTGTCAGAGAGACTAGACTGAAGCTAGCAGCCAATAACAGCAGCCATTAAGCCCGTAGAGCTAGCAGCCAATAAGGAAATTCATCAAAGGACTGAGAATACTCTGACGCAATACTGTTTAATGCCTCATTTCGACAATTTATAATTAATAATTAGATAATTAATGCAACACTTTATTATTTAATAATTCAAACACTTGGAGGCAGTTAAGCTCACCTGCATAAGGAAAATTATGCGGTTTCAAAAACAACAAACAAAACAAAAAAAAAAGAGAAATTGTCACCATCTTTGACCGCTTAAGAACAAACCAACATTGGAAATAGGTTAAGTACTTCCGGGAGAATCCCTTTTAAGCTCTTTTACGGGTCTCAGGAACATGATGGTGCCAAAAGGCTAACCTGAAATTTGCTTACTCCTAATATTTACATTGATAAGGGTTTGAAGGTAATTTAATCTATTTTAAGTTATTATCCTTGAAATGTGCTTCGAACAATTACTGGCACAAAGTAAAGGGTCCACAGGGCTATTATATACGGCCATGAAAATTAGGCTGAAGTGGTACCACCAAGTGGTGCCAAAGGTGGGTTACATATTTCAAGCAGCTATCATACCTCTTATCTTATAAGAGTGGTGTGCTTTAAATCATTACTGTGGCAAGATAGGTTTCTAGGACTATCATTTCCCACAATCGGTATGAGGCTGTAGTGGCACCACCAAGTGGTGCCAACGGTGGGGAACATATTTGAAGCTTTCATTTTTCAACCATCATTGACCACTAGAACAAACTAACACTAAACTGGAAAAAAGATAAGGACCTTAGGGAGTATCCCTTGTCAACTTTCAATGACTAGAAAAGGCCAGTTAGGTAACCTGAACTTTGTTGTATTTCACTTTGTCTATTGATATATGGATTAAAAGTCAGATGTTATTCCCCTTATCTTTGAAGTGTGCTTCAAATCATTACTGGGGCAAGGTAGAGGGCCCCTAGGACTATCATTTCCCGCTATCAGAATGGGGCTGTAGTGGTACCACCAAGTGGTGCCAAGGGTGGGGGACGTATTTCAAGCATTCATTTTGAAAGCATCTTTGGCTACTAGAACAAAGTAACACTAGTAAAAGGCTAAGGACCTTAAGGAGAACCACTCACCTGGTTTTTGAAGGGTCCCTGGGAAAGGA